CATCTAGAAGAATATATTACAAAAAGTATCATGATGTTATGTATCCCACAATGGCTTTTGTCTCGTCTGTCAATGGCACGTTTTACGACACCTTTCGGAAGTAAAATTTCGAGGAGCTTTCTAGTCTCATTTTTGGACTTGCCCAAAGCAAAAGATTTCCCTAGGAATTCTCCACACAATAGCCCTTTCTGCTCTCGGTAACTTTGACAACAGGCCAATCAACATTTTCTGGCTGTACTCTCTTCACTATTTGATATTCCCGTATTCTTGCATTTAATCAATTTTGTATATACATTGTTTTATTCAAGTAAGCATGATTTAAAGTATACTACATATTATTTTAGACTTTATTTTTCCGAGCATTTTATAAAAACGGTGACCATTGTGAAATGTCACTCGTAAAAAGCAGATGGAGATAATACACCTAATGATTTCTTACACGTGATTTTCAGTTTTGCGTTGCGCTCAAAAAGCACGCAATGACAGGAGCCCATAAGTTATGGGCTCCCTGGCAATGATAATTTTACAAAACCTCATCAGAGACCTCATCGCTTTGGCAGGCCCTGGAAACACTATCCGTGCAACTTGTGATATAATCTTAATCTACTGGCTGCACACGAAATACTTCCTCAATACGTCTTGCTTAGACTCAGGACTCAAGGTTTTTTTGGTTTTTGTTTGTTTTTCGTTTTTTTTACTGATGGGTTTGCCTACAAAATAAGAAACCGTAGAACAAAAAAGTAATGAATCACCTTTGGTTTGTTTATAACTGTGCTAGTGAGCTTTCTAACAAACATTTACTTGAACGAATTTCTTGAGAATGAAATATACATTGAATAAAATAGGCTTAAGAGGAAATGCTCTCTTTAGATCTCCTCTGCCTTTTTCTTGGAGCACCGTCGCCTCTGTTTTTCCTTTTCTCCTGCACCGTGACCTGTCAGCAAAAATGTAGAAAATGAAAATTAAGTTGAAGCTCCCGACGCTTCTCCCCAAGCCAGACATAAATTATTTCATTGATAACTTACAAAAACTCAAGGCGACCAGGGGCTGACAGCAGCACTGTATCTGTATTTTAGGTTTGATAAAGTCTTGTCTTTAATTTCTCACTATTTTGTCAACAACTTGTTCTCCCGATTACTATACAAGTTCCGTTGTATGTCAATAGTGTTTTCACGGACATATTAAACTGTATTGCACTGAATGGATAGGATGATAACGTCTTCGTGGGATAATGATTTGTTTTATTTATTTGGTATTGTTTCAATAGTTGATTAATTTTGACTTCAACGCTTATTACAAGACACCCTTATTTTACCAATACTATCTATGGTAACCTTAGAGCCCAAATGTACGGGGTTCGAATGTTATGTCACAATGCCTGTACAAAAAAACCATGAAAGACCACATTTGTGCATTAAGTACTAAATTACTGACTCACTTGTGGGAAATGATCGGCTTTCCTAAGAAGATCATTCAGGGTTTCTTCCCGCTGTTGTTGGTCCGGGTCGGTTGTTGTAGCTTCCTTAATCGGGCGATGCCTCTTCAATTTGTTGAGGTGCCACTCTGCTCTTTTACCCTCACTGAGAAATTTGGCAGAAGCAGCTTCCCATTTCGCACGGAATGCTTTCTCAGCGAGGATAAAAGAGGACCACCATTGCCTGTCTTCGTGTGTCAAGCGTTTGCACTTTTTCACGCACTCCTCCAGGTCTTTGATTGGCAACAACTTCTTTGTACCAGGCCTGACTAGGGGAGGGATTCCCCGTGGTGTACTGCTCAACATGCGTTGCCCAGGACCCTCCGGAAGCCACGTCTCATCACTTGCCCAGTTTTTGTATTTCATTCGGACTTGGCCATTTCTCTTAAAGAATCTATACGTATGAGGGTACACATGATTTTTTATTTTGTTTAGGAGTGGTTCAATCCATGCCTTAATATCAAAAATGAATTCTATCACGCGGACGTCTGGAGCTGGGGTATGGGCTTTTTGGATGTTCCTCACTAAAGCGGGCAACGTCATCGAGTCCTTCATGTGGAGTCGTTTTGAAATTCTACTTAAAAACTGAAAATGAAAGGGTGAAAAGAAATTTATTAGACTGCATGAAAATGAATATTGATGCAGCTGGAAAAAAGGCATGTTGGGAATTGGGTAGATTTTTTATACTTATGTTTTATAGCTTTCTATTCAGTTCTCGTCATCACTTTTGTTTTAGTACACAGTTTCAAAACAAATTCCCTTATTGTTTAGCATATGGTCCATTTGCCTCTCACTGGAGCAAAATTACTTGAACTTAAAGGGGAAATTATTTTTGGACAGCATTAAGTGTTATCCGAGTAACAGATATTCTTTGTGCAATGGAAAATTCTAAAGAGCGGATGAAAAATAAGCTCGTCTGCCTTAGGCATTTTTCCTTACACATTACAAGTTATGAGCTAAAAAGTTGTTAGGTCTTCATGTTAAACCAGCATTCTCGTTCAAATTTGAATGCAAAGTTAATTCAAATCAGTGCTCTTACCTGGTCAACGTCTTCATGTGTATGACCTACCATAAGAACAGACAGGCGAACCTGAAAAGGCGAAAAAAATTTGGTTTTACAAAGAACAAAAAGAAAGGAAACTGAACTACATACTTGAGCGCTTTCTGACCGAAGGGAAAACGTATCGTGGAAATTCTTGGCTAAATCAATCGAATTATACTATTACAGCTGACGCTGTTACTTTATAGTTGTCTTTGGCACTTACCTCCTGAAAAATCTCTTTCTCTACAAGAAGCGAACAAAAGCCAAGAATATAGCGATTCTTGCATTTTCGATAACAATTATCCATCTGTAGGAATAGGAACGGGGGTAAGCGTCCTTCCTAAAAAAAAAAAACAGTGAAAAACCACATCAAAACGGTTATGATGCGCTTAGTCTTGTACTGTTCTTATGAAGGTTTGCCGTGATAAGTGGAAAACAACAATCACAATTACAAATTAGCATCAGTACCATGGTTAACGGCTTGTACTGACGCTGCTAGCAGATCGAGTCACTTCGATCTTTGCTAGACAAGTCGGGAAAGTTCGAAGCGACTCTGTTAGCAGGGTGAAACATGTTATAGAAGTAAGACCCAGGATTATCAATTTTAACGTGTTCTATAAACACAAAATCGTCAGTTTTCAGGAATAATTGATCGATTAACTTAGGTACCTCAGATAGTTCCACAAATATCTGTAACAGGACATTCAACGTCAGGTTCGAATCATGTGGCCATCGCATTAAGTCTATAAAGCTGAAAATTCTACTGTCTCCATGCGAAATAGCCCCGGTGACGTCGGTTCTCAACAAGTGATAAGCTTCATCCTATGAAGAAACAATAAGTTATAAAATAAGAATGTATTTCTTACCGTTGCTTATGTGGGAATTCTAATTCATTCTCAATTTACCACCTCGATCATGCATGTGTTGTTCATTCTGAACTGTTTAGGAACCATGAGGGAACAAATTTGGCCGACAATTACAGCTTCGTCAATTATAATGGACAGATACTGGTCCGGATCGAGTTCAGCCTTTAAACAATTGCTATAATACGCTCTTCTTTCAGCCCTTGAATGACATAAGAGAAAACGTTTGTGGCATAACTATTAGGACAAATCACAGTAACACCTATTTGATACAGGAAAAAAAAAAAAACAGATATACACCGGCACCTTGATAGTTCAGAAAACAACCTGAAAGGGAGTACTCAAAAGTATCACTGGAGGAGACTCAGTTTTCAAAATAGTAGAGAAATCAGTATAACTCAGGGAACCGAAATTCTATTGTGCAAAATAATTTGTGGTGACAAGTTTGTTTACAAGTAGCACAACTTAGTATAGACTTACATTTGTTGTTCATTGTGCACCTTTCTTTTAAATGACAATGACTTTCTCTTATCCTTATCCGTTGTAACATAACTTTAGGGTCACACAGACACCACATTTTGTAAACTTGTTTTCCTATTTAAAAGAAAGGTTAAAATTAGTGTGGTTGCTCATATATGGAGCCTTATGTCAACCCTTTTTGGACTGCCATCAACTTTTATCCGTACCTTTGGTATAATCACATTCCTGAATTGTTTTTTCCACATTCGAGAGAAGGTTGCCCAAGAGACAGGGTGCTTGCCAGCAGTTTTAAGGTCGTCGTCAACGTAGGTTAGGTAAACCTCCCATTTAGTTAAGCACCTTGGCAGACAGTATTTGTCTTCGTTCGGTATGCAATCTGCGCTATGTTCAATGAAATCTGTAAATCAAAAATTAAAATAAATTAAACTGTGAGTTGTTAACATATTATGAACAACGAAGAATTATGTCGAGTGATTAATTGAAATCACCAAACTGGGTTTAGTCATATTGGAAAGAATGACAGCTAATTTATAAGTTGAAATCTCTGACATCTCTTAACTCATTTACTTAAAGTTACTATAGCAACCAACCATTAAACCAAGCTTCTGCTTTAAGTGTACTTGGCTTCCTCATTTGCCGGCCTTTTCTGGCCCCCTCTGCCGAACAACGACCATCTCGTTCAAATTCCCTCTGTAGATGGTAAAACCTGCAAGGAGAAGACCTACTTTTCACCATTGAGTTGTTCTTCCGTTCGTTAATTGCATTCAAGAGACAGGTTATTATAATCTTGAACTTGAACTGGAGAGCGCGTAGGTTTCTATTCAGTCAAAGGTCAAAGAAAAAGTAATGAGCATCTTTAGAGATTAACTTACGTTGATCGGGAAATACTGTGAGCGGCTAGACAGGCTTTTCTGCATACGTTTTTACCATTTGCCCGAAATGTATACTGCCTTTTACCTTTTAAAACAACAACAACAACAAAAATAAACAAACTTATAATAAATAAAATGCTTAACAAATGCAATTTGGGTAAGAGGGGTCTGTTAGACCTTGCTGAGGGACAATATTGTAATATCAACCACAGGTCGCATGACCCTGGTCAGTTGTACGCATTAAAGACAAGTAACAAAAGGCGGAAATACAATAAGAACAACGTCAAAAAATTAAATACAAGAAAGTGCTATACATTCTATCATTTTTTTTTCATGGAGCAACTTTATTACCTTGATGATGATAGACAGAAAATGTGAAGAACCTCAAAATAAAGGACCTCTGTTCTTCTTCTGAAAGTGAGCGGTAAACTTTCCTGCATTTCGAAACATCACTTCTATTAAGGACTTTCTTTGTGCACCAGTTTTTGCAACATTTCGTGTTTATAACTTTGTCTATCCCAGACGTGGAGAAGGCCTTTTCTTTCCTAACTGAAGTGCGAGTTGAGGACTGTCTTCCTTTCTACGGTGGAATTAATGCAAACAAGAATGAAAACTTTGCTGGGCTACAGAGTGGCGAACAAATAATTACGAGTTTGCAACTGACGAAGTATTAAAAATTCTTAAGTTGTTTGTATTGTCTTTATACAACGTAGCTAAAGGGAACGCCGGGGACGATAAGCGCGCCAAAAATACACTAGTTGAAGAGTGTGACAAACCACTAGGCGATGTAAATGGACGACGAGATCTGCTCATGATCCTACCAAAGACTAAGCTGTTTGCTTGCCCTTTGCTTCATCTATGGTTTCTATTGTCCATGTTAAGTCACTACACATTACTCACCTGTTTAGTGCCTTTTTTGCTGTTGTTTGAAGGTTTCTCTGCGCAAGCCGCCGATCGAGATCCTGTCCTCTCTTCTGCATTTTCACCAACGCTTCTGATCACTGTGGCCTGGATGTCTTGCACTCTGCCGCGCTCATTTGTCGTTGCATGTAACGAAAGTTGGATAATCGCACACAGAAAAACAATAAGGAAAGCCATGATGTACTTTTAATGGTAAATGCCGATAGAATGGTTGATAGGATTTCCGTCTCGGTTTTTATTCAGCATTTTTCCCGCTTTGTTTCTTAATTGCATACAAAAAGCCCGCCTTTTCTGGATTAACCAATCAAAATTAGAATTTGAAAACTAACCATAGTGGGGTAGGGACGGCAATGAGAGCGTGCTGAAATGATAATCAAGGTACTCTGAGGAATCCCGCCCAAAAGGGGAAACATTGAACACTCAGAAAGGCAGAAGAAAGAGTACATCAACAAACAACAAAAGAACGAGTAAAGATATCATTGTCATTAGTATGCCTGGCAGTGAATACTTGATTTGAAATGCAAACGTGAGCACATTCACGCGATTAAATAAAAGGCGCGCAAGATTTAATTACTCAGGTAATTTTGTATGGGCAGAAGGAATGCCATGCGCAATCAGCAGAAAAAGACCTATTGTCTTTGATTTTCGGAACCAGTGTCATGAACTTGCGCCATGTGGCAACCTTGAATGGTTTTCTGCGTATGCAAACAGATGCTTATTTTTCAATCTTCAATGATCTGACGAACATAATTCAACCTCTTTTCTTAAGTTTCTTAAACTATGCCCAATTACTCCAGAATGCTAGCCTAACATGACTCTGTAGATTAAAATAGGTTAAGGTATCGCACGATAAAACTGCTCGTTTCCGATCTAGATCACCGGCTGATGAAGCATAGTTTTCCTCTGTTTGTAATGGAAAAAGTAATTATGACTTCCATTGGAAAATGATTGCTCCCCTTGTTTGGTTGTCATGTTACTATTCCATTTTATCAGACCTTATCAAGCGTGTTGCAAACTGACTGGTTCTTTCTTCTTGTTGGGTTGACCGAGCTTTTTTTAAACACTAGAAACTTAAAAAGTAACTAGGAGAGTTTCGATAAAATGAATGCCGCTTTTTCCTAATAACTCATGATTTATTAAGAGACTCACTGCAATGTAAAATGCCATACAGCACCGGAACCGATTACCATCCTTTTACACCCATCTTTCAATTGCGTGCTTCACCGTGGCCATGTTTGACATCTTTTAGTTGCTTGCATGCAACCGTCACGGAACATTTTTGGGCTTCACGATACAAAAGTCGTCGTGTCACAGTGGTGAACATATTGCGGGTTGCTGAGGACTAATTTGGTCAAAACCTTCAGTTAAACAATTTATTCAGATATGAGTGCACTTGACGGATTCTTTCATAATCTAAGCGATGAGGAAAATTCCGATGGCGTGTTGGAAGAGTCTGTTCCTTCACAGGCTACACCAGTGGTTTCAAGCCAGCAGCATCGAACTGAAACTTTTCAACCTGTGATGCAACTTGCACAACCATGTTCGTTTTCGGCTACTCCATCATACCCCCAAAACTTCTCAGCTCCTTCTCAGGGCTACCCAATGGGGCTTCAATATCCACAAATGTGTCCACCTAATCAATACTTTCCTTTCCCCTACGGTTTGCCGCCGTACGGGTTAATGACATTCCCGCCTCATTATCGATCTCAAACTAGATCTTCAAGTCGACCTCCCGATTTCATTGAGACAGTAAAACTGATTAGGAAACAGTTGTATGATCGTGGCGGCATCGAGGATTCACAGGAACCACCGGCTGAGGGGGAAGTTTATTCAAGGTGGAGAAAATCAGTCATTGAAGAATGGAAACCAGTAAGTATATTCAATTTAATGTAGGTTTAAAGCTATAACTCTGAAATAATACTTAAGGACTGCTGTATATTTTCTAACTTTGTGGCTATATCCCCGGCCAGACCCCCGAAGGTTGTCAAAAATATAAAACTAAATACCCGGCGGTCAGAATATTTGGTAGAATTTCTACAATTTCCTTTTCCCTAACTTTTTAAAGGTACTACATCTGGATGTAATTTGCGCGCCGTTTCACGATAAGAAAAGTGAAAATAACGAAAACAAAATCAGTCGATGCATCTTTCATTCCTAGCTCGTTGTAGCTCGTGTATATAATATATAATGTAAGGACATAAGTAACTTTTTTTTAATTTTTTTATTTATTTTTTTTTATTCAAGACATTTATTACTATAATTACAAAGAACTACTTCAAAAGAAAATAATTACAAAGTTCTAAACAACCACAATAACAGACATACTTACAATTATCTACATTTCACAATTATACACATTACAGCCACAAAACAGCCGCGCAATTGCCGAATGAGGCTTATTTTACAAAGAATTAATTAATACTTAATTATGTAGATAAAAGAGAGATTAACACTTAATATTTACAGTACGCTCTGAAATAAAAACAAAAACATAACCACACATACAAAAATAAAAAATACAAAAATACAAAAAAAAACAAAAAAAAAGTGTCTAATAAAAGATTAAATTTTTAATTCCATACTCACGAACTTAATTAAAGAGGAGAAATGTCTTTTGGCCATTTTTCATAAAAGGTTTCTAATTTATTATTCTTAGTGGAAATATATTTTTCAACTTGGTATTTAATTCTTACTTTAAATTTGAAACCTTCGATGTTTGGAAGTACCTGTTTCTTTCTGCAATCTCATAAATACAATTTACCAATTAATATCAGATAATTTAACAAGGGGCATTTTGACATCGTTATTCCAATTATAAGCTCTCGTAAACACAACCCGTGAAATTCCTTTGTTATTGTTAAATAATACTGTTCAAGATTTTTCCACAACATATTTGAGTGCTGACAGTCAAATAGAAAGTGACATAATGTTTCCTGTTCAGTCTTGCAAAAAGTACATTTGTCATGCTGGAGATATCCAATTTTAAAAAGGTTTGCATTAGTGTAAAGTATTGAATTTAAAACTTTATATTGAAAGGATTTGACGTAAGGCTTCTGTGTTGTCAGGTGGGGAAGGTTGTAAGCAATTTTTAAGTCTTTGTCAGATAAGCCAAAATCATGTTTTAAATTCTTTGCATTACTAGGTAATTGTGCTTTATTTGATATTATTAAAGAGTAGTAGTCTTTCGTTTTCTTTTCCGCTATGTCAAAAATCTCATTCCCCTTTGTAAAATAGGTATTTTCTGTAAAGGTAGTATACTCTATTGTTTTCAGAATAGAAGGAATTGCATGCCTGAGACCTGTCCATGTAAGAAAATTAGCTTTCTCAATTATGTTATTGATTGCATTAAAGGATTCTATATTGTCGAGATTGAACAAGAGATCTTTAATAATACCTATCCCCGAGTCATAATAAGATTTATAAAAGACTGGTTTTCCATCTATCCTTATATCTTTGTTATTCCAAATTATACAGAGCCGTTCTTTGTTAGCTAAAAAGAGATTTCGAAATTCTAACCAATATTCTAAGAGTTCTCTGTAGAAAACCAAGTTGATTGAAAGATCGTTCATTGCATAATTGCATTTGAAAAGTAAAAGACCACCAACACTACGTAGGAGATGAAACAAGTAAAATTTCCACGTACTTTCATTATCGCTGAAAACACGTTTTAGCCAAGCTAGTCGTACAGCTTTGATCAAGCTTTCAATATCTGTCATTTTTATGCCACCGTCTTCATAACTGTTTATTGAAGAGAGCCTCGTTACTTTATCCTTTCCATTCCATAAAAAGGAGAAAATTATACTATTCACTTGTTTGATGATTTTACTTTTTTCTTTTAAG